GGTGAGTTGGATCGGGAAAATTTATACTTTGCATAGATTCTCAACTTGTAATAGTTCTTTATGATTAAATAAATAAACGATACCAACCTAATTGTGGGATTAAAAAAAAATATATATATATAATCCATATTATATTCTTTATTAAAATTATTAAAATAATATCTTACTGTAATTTTTTACATTTTAAGTCAAAATTTTTGATCAATATATTTAAATATTCTTTTAAAGTCTTTATTAAAATCTATAGTTAATTATTATTAGAAATATAAATTCATTTTAACAAATTTTAAAATATGTTAAATAAATAAAAATTTCATTTGGAAAATTTATCAATACTTACAATTAACTAATTATTTAAAAGAATCCTATACTTCAATAATATAACAATAAAAATTAATGATATTTAAAAATATTTTATTTTATTATAAATTTGATAGTTTTTTAATTTTATTTACAACTTATATAGTATAGTGGGTACGAACTAATTAGTTCATATCCACTTAGTATAGGTTATAACTACTCCATTTAGGTTATATTCACTTAGTCCCGAGATTTTAGGTTATTCCTACTCATAGTAATGATGAGTTTGCATTTGCGCCGTCATTTGCTGAAGTCAGTTGAGGTGCTAGCTGACCATATGGCAGAAGTCGACAGATACTCAGTGTAAGTGATGATGAGTTTTATTTGCGTCGTCATCCAAACTTCACAAACAGCCGATTGCAAGCATAAATTCGAGTGAATGACGAGCTTCAGGATTTGGCTTGCAAAGTTAGCCTATGGAGTTAGCCAAAGTTTTCGAACAATGGCAAGTAATGCGTGCAGAATGGATGAAATGAATTCATAACAAATTAGGTCAAAGGTTACATGAATAATATCTAATTTGAATTTTTATACGTTTTCTTCCTGCTACTTAAATAATAGTAAAAACTCTCATCATCATCAGGAAAACCACAGAACCTCCATCATTGTCATCGGAAGAACCGCAATACAGTCCATTGTCGCTATCATCAGAGAAATTCTCATCTGGAAGCTGTCTCATGTCAATATCGCTATTGACCCTATCGTAAGATTTCTCATCATCAGATAATTCCAAGTTACTGTAGAATCTAAAGAATCATCAGGTTCACTTACCTCTTCCTCCAGTAAAGATTCGACTTTCTAGCTTATATTATTATCCTCATTTACAGTTTCTGGTTTATCCACCGGCAAATATTTGTTATCCTCACTTATCATATTAGACAATGGGATAGAGGAGGCAGATTTTTCTTTCCTTCTCGCAAGAATTTTGCCGATCACTTCGTGAACTCGGTTCATAAAGTTGGGTTACATGTGTTAATATAGAACTTATCTCATCATCCCGTAACTTAGCCAGAGGCAAGCTCACATCAATGGTATAATCAAAGGATACATTATCTATAATATACTGAATTTCTTTTTTTGTTAATTTAGATATACTGTCAGCAGAAAAGGAATGAATGCGATAAATTTTATCCATATCTATTGCATCGAAAAGTTTATAAAGCTTCTTTGTTTTTTCGATTCTCTTACATAAAAGGCTACCAGAGGTGTCTGCGGGTAACTGTGCTTTTACTTATTTATTTAAAATTCTACTAACAGTATTGGATTCTGGATCAATTTTTCTTTCTGATGCTATTTCATTACGTCTTTGAATAAACGCCTTTCCAAATAGGCAATAACATGTGATAGCTTCTTAGGTTTTACGATCAGCAAGAATTATAGCATCACAAAGTTTTTCATATAAAAGCGTAAAGATAGTATTACTGAGCGCTTCATCCTGGGTAGTAGTTGTCACATCCCTATCTATATTATCATTATTAATAGAACTTGAGTTTTCCGAAATTTCTGACATGATTTTCTGTACTTTGTCTTGAGATCTAAGATTCTTTTCCTGACTCTTTTCTCTTATTTTCTCACCAATCGTTTCTTTGTACGCTATCCAGGAAATCATTAATTTTCTTCTCTTCCGATGATGCAGTTTTTATAGCAATAGAAGACGTGGAGGATCGGTTATTCTTTTTCTGGTATGTATCAGAATCAGATGTTAGATTAGAACTATTTTCTATTCGTTTAGGTGTATTATTAGAATTTGAAGTATTATCAGGTATATTAGATGCTGCAGTATCATTAGAATTTACTGGAAATCGCGAAACATCTTTTGTAGAAATACCTTTTTCTCCCTGTTCTAATATAGCGAGTCTGGTCTCAAGCTCTTTATTCTTTTGCTCTAATTCTTCAACTCTAACATCACGCTTTACATTTTCCTCAATAATTTGCTTCAACCTCGCATTCTCTGCCTCAATCTCAGCAAATATTAGTAGCTTCTTTCTAAGTTCAGGAATTTCAGTATCCTCTTTCCTAAGTTTGGCAATCTCAGTCAAGAGCTTGGCATTTAATTTTCTTAATGAATCGTTGGCGCGCATGTTCGATGATAATTTTTTATATGCGATGAAATAATTCAACATAGATAAAAAATGATATAAAAGAATAAATTGCAAGATTCGGTAATACATAAAGTTGTTTTATAAAGTGAAATAAAGTTTCGATCATCTAAGGCTCTAAACTATCTATATGCTAACACAACATTAATTCTAATCAGATTTCATTTGTCCCCAACATTGGTATTTTGGATAGAATAAAAGGTTGTCAGTTATGCATAAAACATGCTGAGTCAGAAATAAATTAACAATATTGACCTTAGTAAACCCGTCGACAATTTATGTTTTTTGCCTTCAGTAATGTTAATTAATTAATATGTTCCTTGAGATCCTAAATGAAAAATGATCTATTAGCTTGTAAGCCCAGAACTGCAAATGTTCGTATCTTTTAAAATTGCATGATGTCTCGTCGGGAATATTCGTACTTCATATTGCGGTATGAAATGGATAGACATTCTCAAAAGAAAATTAGAATTGGATATAGTGGCAAGGAATTATCTAGAATTCGAGATGTTTCTCACTTGAAATAACCATTATATCATTGAAAATAAAGGTTCTCTTCTGGTTTTTAATTATTTATGTTTTTTTCTCAATATCTTTGTATAAAAAAATATTACCTAAGTCACACTAGTCATACAGATTAGAACATGACTTATTTTATTATTAGTTTTGTGACCAGCCCCAAAAAGAAGAGCAAATCATGCATAGACTCAGCAGGTAATTCCGCCATCAACCTCATTTACAAGTATTTATGTGGCAGGTCATTCCGCTACGCTTGTGAGGGCTAGGTCTATGTTAAGAACAGGTCATTCCGTTCCTGATTTAACAGTTTCCATGGCGCGGACGGTAACTCAAATAAAATCGTTCACAGGCTCGGCAAGTAATTCCTCCATCAACCTCATTTACAAGTACTTATGAAGCAGGTCATTCCGCTACACTTGTGAGGGCTAGGCCAGTGTTAAGTGCAGGTCATTCCGCTCCCGATTTTAGCTGAGCACCAAAAGCAATAAGATACGAAAGAAATCAAAATAAGGTCACTTATCATCATTGATTCCACGTGATATTTAATTACGAAAATCACGTAAACGGTCGTACAATATCAGAACGCGTATCAAATCACTGATATATTTTAAAATTAACCAAATAAATAGTTTACCCTTTACTATAAACAGAGAATGCCAAAACCTTCATACCCTCTGGAGTTGGCAGATTGGTGCCTTCCTTTCAATGAAAATCTTCCTAAAGAAATTGCAACTCATTTTGTTGATCTTCCAGTAAAACGGTACGATGGGATACCTGAATTTTTGTGCTCCGTACCGGATCTTCTTAATACACCAAACGACGCATTCACGGCTTATACCACAAGTCTTAAATTAATATCAGAACAAGCAATCACGCCAATCGGGGTTTATAATTACTGCCAAAATTTGAGCAAGTTTATAAAGGGCCCCAACCGAAAAAATACTTTTCTCGAAAATGTTGAAAAAGCTCGAAGATATCTCCAGAAAAAAGGGTTTGTCGGAAGAGTAGAACGTGATGTGTTGGAAGTTTTTGAGAAAGTACGTGAAAATTTTGCGTCGGAACTGATAGAGAAAGTTCAAAAACCTACTACGTTTTTTCCACCGAGAAAACGTGCGCGTGTTACGCAAGAAGGAAAACTTGATGTCACGGGTGAAGATTTGATGAATTCAGTGACCGATGCTTCCGATATTTTCGGAAAAGTAACTTTTCCGTCATACTATAACAAACTTAAAACTATCTGGAAGACTCAAGATTCTGAGTCAAAATTTTACGTATTCGATTTAGGAGATGAAGACATATGGAATCAGATATATAGTGTTTTGGATGAGGATGAATTGGATTTGTTGTATGAAAGGCTAACATTGGAAGATGAAGAAAAATTCTTAAGTGAAAAGACGCGTGAGTATTTAGCGTTTTTTGATGATATTGTACCCGCTCAATCGAAGGGAGACGAAGCAGTTGATAGTTATCTTGTGGATGAAGATGATTACAAGCCTACAGAAAACAGTGAAGTGGAGAAAATAGTAAATCAGTTGGGCAGTGTATCCGAAAAATACCACTATCTATCTAACTTCTTTCCTATGCCGGCGGACTATGATCAACTCAAAATGCCTGATTTATTTATTGTCAAGGATGTCTCCAACCATTTTGACATCATCACCAAAATGAATGGTGCCATGAATAAAACTCCTGAGCAGACATTGACGGCCCATGTATTAGCATACATTTTTTTTATCACTTTTTGTTTTATTGACTCATCGCAGTATTTTTCATGTGAAAGAGACATATCTGCAAAGATTGATATTCAAGATAATGGCTATAAAGCCGATGGTGTATTAGAGCTTTTTGAGCGACCCAAACAAATTCCATTGTTTTTGCTTGAAGTGTCGGAAGGGCCTAATAACCCGGATCCAGACAAGATTAACGAAGATAGGCGTAGATTATTGAATGAGGGAGTCCTTGGCCTTAATAAATTTATGTTGAGTACCGAGTTACCAAAATTGAAAGTGTGCGAAACACTGAGGATTTTCTTAGCACAGGCATTTGGTAATTTTTTTTTCAATAATTTTAAACCTGCAGGTGTTTTTGATCTAATATATTCTTGGTTTTGTTTATAGCTAATAAACTTGAGATTGGCCAGTTAATATTTATTGGTCCTGGTTTATACCTTTTTGCGCCATTTACAATCCCAGTTCTTACTATTCCAACTTCTGATATCGATCTAAATAATGTACCTAGACTCATTAGAACACTTTTATGTTTACGATACAATATTGTTGAAAATATCAAAAGGTTTATAGAGTTTAGAAAGGAAGGACAAGAAAATATAGCGAAGTCAAAACCCAAGTATGCAACCGGATTCACACCAGAACGGCGAAAAGCTGTGACATTTGCAAATTTCTGCCAAAAATATCGAGAGAAGGAAAGAAAGAAAGTGAATGGTAGGAAGAGAGGTCGCGGTAGGGGCCGTGGTATGGGAATACAGGATTATGCATGAGTTTATGTTTCTATTTTCTTATAATTCATCCTGTTATGCCATAATCTAGATATTGATTCGAATATGGTTGTATAAACCTCTTTCAAGCAATATTTCTTCATATACTGACAGTATGATATTCGGGAAAGTATTTTGCAACAGGAAATTCATGCACCAAAGCTTAATTAATATTATTCTTAATTTCCGAAGTTAACAAATTTTGATACAAATATTTTATTTCCCATGTCTGTTGTTGAAAGCTTTATTAGCGAGGAGATTTGCCAATTCCACTTAAATATCCCGAGATAATAATATTTTATATCTATTGCAAAAAATCCACAGAAATATAAAAATAAATACTTCTTACCTTTATATCTTTTTTTTTCATAATATTCCTTTATCAACAATTTATTAAAATTTGATGGAAATTTACAATTTGAAGCCAAAAATATCCAAAGATGTGATGTGTGCCATCACGATTTTCTCAGAGGTATAAAAATTTTTTTCATGATTTGTGAACCAAGTTCACGAAGTGATCGGCAAGGAAAAAAATATTTTTATTTGATACAATATAAAGCGGAGAAGCTATCTATCCACTTATTTTTTGGTAATTTTTTCTTGTACGCGACGCCTCTTGTTTTCGGGCTCATTACATGCGGTTACTCTGTCTTTCAATAATCCTACGACTATACTGATCACCTGTTTTATATCCTTTTTCATGATTTATCTGATATTCACTATTGCTTGTACAAAAAATACCTTCGGAAGTGAACATGATAAAATGCCAATCCGTACCTGTTGACACAGTCCCATATATATAGTCATAATCCTCAATTTTAAATGCTTTATCTGCAGTTCATTTCTTCTTGTTCATGCAGAAAAAACTCTCAAATTGGTTTATATTTTGGAGGTAACTGTGAGGGGCTATCCAAACCCTTCTCTACTACTAAGGTTTTTAAGGCTGAGGCATAATAATTTGGTCTAAGTTTTTTCCTTAAACTCTACAAAACAAACTTACAATTCATCAATATACACTCATGGTGAAACAACTACTCAAACTGTTTCTTGGTTTCTGTTGTAGAAGCTCTTCTTTATTTAGAAATTTGGCCTTTTCCTTATATACATGCTAGTCTCATAGTAAAATTATAATAACTATTCTAACCATCCTAACTATTTCTACAGAGGCCTACCATAAATTTAAGGACACTTTTTTTTTTAAAATAATATAAATTTTAATAAATTAATAAATTTTAAAAATAAAAAAAACTCTCACCCGTTTACCACTGATTTTTTGAAAATTTTCTTTTTAGGAAATCTTCTTCCAAGAAGTGTCTCCTTTTCTTTATTTCCTAAGGCAATAAGCTTTAAATCCAAAGGACATAAAGACTTTAAGGAACACTATTGCATTGGAATGGGACCTCTGGTCAAGACCTAAGCAAGTTGAGAGTTTTCCTTAGCTCTTGGTTGCATGGGGAAAGGCCTGTAGCAGCCTTCCTTCATAATTTTTTGTCTTTAGGTACACGTACCTCCTCTTTATAACCATAATAATTGCTTTTTCCCTTACCTTTCTCTCTCTACAATACAAATTCAATCTTAACAACACATTCAAATATAGTTACTGAATTTAATGTTTGTCTTAATACAACCTTTGCAAATTTTTTTATTTTTTCTTCTCTATCTAAACATCAACACTATGTCATATTCCTATACTTTTTTATACTCTTTTCAAATCTACTCAAAAACCAAAATCAGTTTCACCCCATCCAAAGATCTACACTCTACAAATGACCAATAAAATTTCTCTATCCTTAACAACAACACCAAATCTGTTCAAACTTGTTTATAACCAGTCTTCTTTTAACAAAAAATTTCCACACTCAACAACAATATCAATCACAACAATATAACAATATTGATAACAAAAATGATCTGATAACTTACTGGATTAGGAGAGCGCATGACTTGTATCCTGCGCAGATTCTGGTAATCTTTACTTTACATGCATTCAAACAACAAAACAAGCAATTGAAACAGGTTCCAGTTATCTGATCCACTTATATCTCAATCACAACACTCTTTTAATAACCACATGACTTTTTATTATTTCAACAATGGAGTTGTGATCCATGAGCAATAATGCTACCATTAAAGAAAAAAGGTAGCCAAAACCTAACCAATGTAGATAAAAGTGCAATACCTTTATTGCAGGTAGAAGTGAGATACCAGGGAATTGCACCCTGTAATCTGGTAGCTTAAGCCAGTGCTTCTCTACTGCTGCTGAAGTCATGCCTAGCTATCAAAAAGGAAGCAATAACCTAGGTAGACACATTTGGTTTGTGCCCTGTAGGAGAAATTGTTGATTCAAAGATAATACACTCCTAAAACCTAAACACATCACCACTATAACTTTCTACTCTCCATAAATCATTAACTATATCTCTTACTTATAACTAAGCAGCATATAGTCAATCCCATATGCTATCAATATTTCTTCTCCTAAATCAAACTTCTATCACTCTTTCTTACAATTGACGATTTTGCCTAAAATGTTTTTTTATTTTTTATTTTTTATTTTATCATAGCAGATAGTTTCTTGGGTTTTTCTTTTTAAGTTTTTTCCAATGATATATCTGTTCATGGTGGCAGGTCAATATGTATTATCATATACTTCATACTTTATTGATTTTGTATATAATGTATTACATTTACTACATATAATTAATAAAGCCTTGAGGAAGACCTCACTTAGCATTTAAAAAAAAATATATTAAATATCAAATTAATTAATTTAAATATTTTTTTAAAAAAAAAACTCTTTCCTACTCCCCTCTCTACGCTTGAAAATTTTCTTTTTAGGAAATTTTAAGTTGTTTTTTTTTCGCTTTTTCTCTTTCCCTAATATTATTTTCTCTTCCTACTACTCTCTTCTTCCCTCTTCCTTTTTTTTCTCTTTTCTTCTATAAATTTTTCTTTTACATATACTCCTTCCTCTTCTT